GCAGTTCTCTGCCTCAGCCTCCCCAGTACCTGGGATTACAGGTGCCCGCCATCACACCCAGCTAATTTTTGTATTTTTAGTAGAGACGGGGTTTCACTATCTTGGCCAGGCTGGTCTTGAACTCCTGACCTCATGATCCACCTGCCTTGGCTTCCAAAGTGCTGGGATTACAGGTGTGAGCCACCACGCCTGTCCTTTTTTTCACTTTTAAAAAGTTAAGATTATATTGTACATACTTCATGGAACCTATTTTATCCAATAAGACATATAGCAGTGCCAGTGACAACTTCCATTTTATTTTATTTTTTTTAACCTGGGTTGATTATCCTCTCTTCCTGAGGTTCTCTGGTCTCCTGACTTCATAACACTACTGCACTTTGGTTTCTTGGTTTTGTTTTTTTTTTTGAGACGGAGTCTCGCTCTGTCTCCTCTGGCTAGAGTGCAGTGGCACGATCTCTCTGGCTCACTGCTACCTCTGCGTCCTGGGTTCAAGCTAATCTTCTGCCTCAGCCTCCCGAATAGCTGGGACTACAGGCGAGTGCCGACACATCTGGCTAATTTTTATATTTTTAGTAGAGATGGAGTTTCACCATATTGGCCAGGCTGGTTTCTTGGTTTTTCTATCTCTGAAGTATTATTTTTATTTTTTGACTCTTCTCATACTTGCTTTTTCCCCCTTATTGTGGACACACTGGAAAAAGTCCTTGATTTTCTGAACTTTGGTTCATGTTTTCTTTTTTGAAAATACATCCAATCTCATGACTTCAACTGTTTTATCTATGGGAATGACCAGTAACTCTAGACTTATCTCTCTCTCCCACTCTGGTCATTTTTATGAACTTTATATTACCTTCTGTGTGCACTCTATTCTGTGTATCATCTAGTATAATAAAATAGATATTATTTTATAGATGATTTTTATTTTAGAACAATTTGCTTTCTTACTATAGAAAAATTAAAATCCCTGATTTCTCTTTTGGAAAAATTTCCTTGATATGCTTTTAGGGGTCCTACACAATGCAGTCAAATCTATTTGTGAACACTTGAGTGCATCAGTTTTATAATTTTAATAATGGTAATAAAATTCCCTTTAAGTATTAGAATGTCAGGATTAGAAATACTTGACATTACATATAAGTTAATCGATAAACTTTGGAAGAATTTTAGAAATTGGAGAGTTCATGTTATCAAATAGCATCTCCATACTTTAATGATATGCAAGGAGCAGGACTGTTCAGAAATGACCCTGGCGTTGACTGAGACTGGGACTCTCTCCTCCCAGCAAGCAGCAGCACCTAAACTGAACTTCCCATTAGACTGTTAGTGCTTCCTATGTCTGGCACAGTAAACTGTAATTTCCCATAGGACCCAAAGATTCCAGATGCTGAACAGCGGGTGTTATGTAAAGAACGGGCATCAAGTCTATACTCTGGTGCCTTTTTCCTGAAAAGGTTCTTCCTATGATTGCCCTATAAGAAGGAAGAACAAGAAGTGGGTAGGGTCTTTTCATTGAATCTCCGACCCACACTGTGTATCCACAGAGCATCCTGGTCCTGCGCTATCTTTCCTTAAGAGCAGTGGGAGTATGGGGTACTCAGGATTATTTTATTTTGCTGATACTGCCTTATGAGTTTCCCTCTTCCCCCAATAAGACTGTTCTTTAACCCATGTTCTATAATGTAAACTTGAGTCTTGGTATAGGATAGGTAGGCACTGAGAAGGGACCCGTCATGCATGACAAATAAGTTAGTTTGTAATCATGTCCTTTTTTCCCCTCTTCTCATGGTGTAGGAATCTGAATTAGAGCCTATGAATGGTGAGATAATGGATGATTCTCTTAAGACCTCACTTATAACAGAAGAGGAAGACTCCACTAGTGAAATTTTAGATGAAGAATTAAAATTGCAGCCTTTTAATTCCAGTGAAGATTCTACAAATCTTGTTCCACTGGTGGTAGAATCTTCAAAACTCTCTGAGGCAGATGCACCAGATAAGGTAAGGGGGCGATGAGCTATTTTTTAATAAAGTATACCAATGTTGGTGACATTAGGCGGGAGGGTGCATGGTATACATATTTGTTTCCACCTTAACATGTACAGTGCTTTAGGAAGATTAACTTTTATAGTAGATTTGGTATTATAAGAAAATGTAATCAGTAATATTCTATAAATTCAAATAATTATAAACATTCATGTCTGATATGTGGTAACAAAATGAGTTTTATTACTTTTAATACTTTGTACTTAGGAAATGCTTAGAAAAATGGATAAAGCATTATTTACCAAATATTTCAGTACCTATATTGGTTATATAGTCTATGACTAAAACAGTAATTTATATTTGTGTTAATTAGGCAGACAGATTAAGTTAGTGGGGGAAAAAATCCTGGAGTATTTTAAAAGAAATTTAATTTTGTTACTTTTGAATATTACAGTTTATGGCTAAAAAACTGTTGTATGGGATTATTTATTAGTGTCTCACCTAAGTAAAAGAATAAAACGTCCATTGCCCTACTTACCTAATGAAACCGTAGTCAAACTTAAGTGTGGTGGCACAGTGAAGTCCCAAGGTATTTTTGGTTCTGGCTCCAGTAACACCAGGAAACTAAAAAAACTGAGTTGGTTCATGATTTTGAAGAATCTTCATATGAAGTTTAATGTGTCTTAATTACAAAATAATTATTTCATTATATCCTCAAAGAACTTAGTGTATTAAAATTACCATGTGACACAATTTTGAAGAAATTGAGTTGTATTCAGAATATATACACCTTTAGCAGAACAGAAATTCAAAAAAATACATGATTTTGAGTAATGAATACTGAATTGTTTAAATTGTAGTTCAGTGTCATTGCATATTAGAGTCTGAGAAGAATTTATTTTTAGAACTGTATTACAAGTTTATTTATTGACTAGGTTTTTAATTTTCAGACCCCACGTATACCTGACTCAGAAATGTTGATGGATGAAGGCACATCTGATGTAAAGGGGCACACAGAAGAGAAACTGTCCCTACTTCCAAGAAAGAAAGCACACTTTGGGAGTTCAGATAATGTTGCTACTATGTCACATGAAGAACGATCTGATGGTGGTTTTCCAAACTCTGTGATAGCTGAATTTTCTGAAGAACCAGTCTCTGAGAACTTATCTCCCAATACTACTTCCTCATTGGAAGACCAGGGTGAGGAGGGGGTATCTGAGCCCCAGGAAACATCTACTGCTCTTCCTCAGAGTTCTTTGATAGAGGTTGAACTTGAAGATGTGCCATTTTCACAGAATGCAGGACAGAAGAACCAGTCAGAGGAGCAGTCTGAAGCATCTTCTGAGCAACTGGATCAGTTTACACAATCGGCAGAAAAAGCTGTTGATAGCAGCTCAGAGGAAATAGAAGTGGAAGTGCCTGTGGTAGACAGGCGGAATTTAAGAAGAAAGGCCAAAGGGCATAAAGGACCTGCTAAGAAGAAAGCTAAGCTGACCTGAAGGAAGAAGAAAAGTGGATGATAAACCCTCTTCTTTGTAACATAATTGTTTTTAAAATATGGTAATTAATAAACAGCATGGGGCACAGGACAAAAATTTCCAAAATTTCAATTTGAACTTATTTACTATGCAGTTTTTCGCTTCCCTTTAGAACGTAGAATTCACCATTCTTTTTAATTATTCAGGCTATTTTTGGTAAATGCAATTTTTTATTTTTATTAACCATGTTTCAATTTTGGAAACCAGATCATATTATATTTTCTTTATCAGGTGGTACATCTGACCATTATTTCAAAAATATAATTAAAAAACTGAAAGTAGTAGGATTTCCATTACTTACAAGGATCACAGAAATCTTTTATACTAAGGGTTTTAATAGTAAAACTTGGTGAGGGTTCTAGAAGTTTTAAATTTCAAAACCCAATCACCAATTTTTTAAAATGTAGGCATACCTAAACAAAAGTGTCAATAAATTAGAATAAATATAACTTCAAGTAAACGAGAGCACAAAAACAGAAACAAACTTACGGTCAAATGTTCATGAAGATATTTTGGTTTTGGCCTCTTAATCCTAGATATAATGCGTTTTTTTCCTTTGACTTCACTATGGAAAGGTACACATAAAATCTGTTTCTGATTCATTCTATCATCTGATGTTAACAGTACTGTCAGGGATTTAACTGTGGCATGTAGGGACTAATTATTTAAAATTTCATTTGAAGTATTAGTTTGCTATAATTTTTTGTCTGCATATGTGCAGATGCCTAGAAGTTTAGACTTCACTTTCACCTTTAATCAGGTAAAAATCACAACTACAATTTAGAGACATAGTTTAATTTGGACTTCTGGTCCTGATCAGACAGATAAATTAAGCTGGAGATTTTACTTTTATCCCAACCCAGTTAACATCTATATTTCAGAAGTGTGAGGCTCCTTCCTAAGGCATCTCCTTAAATCTTGCCACCTCCCTAATTCTACTACAGTCTTATTTCTATTCCCCCACAGCTTTCATCACTTCTCTAACTCATGGAGTGATTCTCCAATCAACAGATCCTCCTGCCTGCCGGCTTATGCTCTTGATGTCCATTTTTGGGTAGGTTTGGAGGTGCACTCCACAATGTTAGACCTATATGGCATGGGTAAAACTGCCTTGGGGAACTATGGTTACAAGGGCTTCAATCAAATTGGAAGAGGCTTCAGTCATCCTTTGATTTGTACTGTGAGTACTGGTTGCAAGCTGGCCTGTTAAGTGTATATTGTGTTGCCATAGCAAAGGCCTAGGAAAATTTGAAGAAAAAAACCCTGAACTGTTAATTTTTGTAATTTATTTAAAAATGAACAAAATGGTTATTAGAATCCAAAGAAAATCTAAAAACAGTTCTACTCTTTGGAAATATTATGTGTACTCAAGTTTGCACTTAAGTTGGAGAATGTTTTGAGACCATTTAGATTGTTTTAAAAATAGCTTGATCTTGATCCTTACGCAAAAGAAACATTACGATTTGTATCATTATTTGAGATAGCTAAGGATTGATGTTGAAAGTTTATTCAGTCTATAGGAAAGCTGATGTCATGTCAATAAATTTTGTTTGGGGATGTTGGTATTTTCGATCTAATTAGTTAAAATCTTTTAGACAAAATAGTAAACCCTCTTATTTGTGTTAGATTTTGAACACCTGTATTATCCTATATTTTCTTTAATTATTAGTCAGAGGTAAGCCAGATTATGTCATACTAAATGAAAATTAAAGTGCTTTGGCCATTTATTTTCTCAACAAATCTAATACTAAGTTAAAAAAAAAAGTATGACTACCATTAGTTAATCTACCATTTATGCTGTTTTATACATTTTATGAGAAACTTCTGTCAACATCACAAAGGGAAATACTCTTAAGATTCAGTAAATGCTTAACCTTTACATTTTTCATTTCTTAGATTTGAAAACAACACTTTTAGATATTTTATTTTTACTTGGGTTTGTTTAAACTACTTTCTTTTTAAATTATTTTAAACATGGAACGCTTCATGAATTTGTGTGTCATCCTTGCACAGGGGCCATGCTAATTTTCCCTGTATTCCAATTTTAGTATATGTGCTGCTGAAGTGAGCACTAAAAGACTTTCTTTAGGCAAGTGTAGTTTTTTAAAGATTGAGCTCACTGGCTCAACTCCTGATGTGTGAATATAGTTGAGTTTACAAAAAATGTTTAATCATATATGACCACTGGGGGCTAACAGTATAAACTTGTTAAACTTGTTTGGGTTAAATAGTAAGTGAATTCTAAGCAATTTCTAAGGTTTTTGTTTAGCACACAAGAACACTTCTGTTACAGATGATCTCTGACATAAAATGTTATTTTGGGATTTATAGATTATAAAAGGAAAAATTAGATCACTTGGAAAAACCTAACTCATGTTCAGTAACTTGAGTATAGAATTTATACCACAGTTTATCTTCAATAAGGAACCTACATGAACTTAATCAGTTATCTGTAGTTTTTGCAAGGCATTAGAAAAAATTTCACAATTACAGGGGACTGAAAATGTGATTTCAACCAGCTAGTTGTTGAATGTCCAGTCACATTACACATAGTCCTTTGTGAACTTGTTTGTGAAGGAAGTTCACTTTTTGTGTACATACGTGTATATTTCCTTGTGTAATATAAAGCAGATGGTTATTAGCAGTATTTTAGTTCTTTCAAGTTATAAATTATTCAATTGCTAGACATCACAGAAATTAGTATATTTAAGAATTTATTATAAAGCTCCTCTACAACTTTTAAAGGTGAGAGGGTCTATTATGATTTTTTATAAAATCAAACAGCATGATTTAGAACGTCGGTCTTCTACTTAAAATGTGTCTATATTCATGGTATTTCCATTCAGTGTAGATGGTAAGGAAAACATCTAGTCATTAAAGATTTACTTTTAGCAGACTCCAGAACACTACTTACAATGGGGTTTCAGTGACTAGAAATCTTGAAGGTTTATGATTGCATCAAATTGAGCCTGTACTAATATCTAAATATCTGCTCTTATGTTCTGCTTTATCCCTTGGGATTACCTTCTAAGGTTTGGTCACACCAGCAAACTGAAACAGATCTTAATGTAAATAAAGAATTTATACTAGTATTACTCATCTGTGTTACAGTATTTTGGAAAACGTTTCAGGTGTCATCTAGTCTTTCATGGGTGTGTTTAGTTACAAGTGTTATGCTTATGTTTTCATACTTAATATCAAGCTTTCTTTGTATCTTACAAGATAGTAATTTTGGTTCTAAAAAAACAAGCAAACTTCATTTTTGTAGTATCCAGAAATTACCTGGAGTCAGTATTTTTATTCGCCTTGTAGAACTTGTGATCCACACATCACCCATTTATATTAGTGGCAAAATTATCTGCTAAAATCTAACTGTAAGAAAGGCTTACCTTCTGTCATCAAGTGATTGTATCACCCTGGATTGCCATTTCCAAGGAACTAGCCTTTCTTTTCCTAAGTGTCTGTATGTGTTCTAAAACTTCTAGTATATTTATAGAACTTAGAAAAAAATGTTACATTATTCAGAGTAGCAAGTCTTACTGGAATATTTATATTTGTTTTCCTTTTTTTTTTTTTTTTTAAGTTTAAAAGTAGTAATTAAACCTATATTTTGTGATTGTTTCCTGGTCTGTGTTTTGAAATTCTTTTCCTTCTGTTTTCCTCATGAAGATGTTTCAGATACTGAACTTGTTTAGACATTGAATGACTTTGTTAAAGGCACAATCAATCACATTGGTTGTACTCTGAAGACAGACTTCTTAAAAAAAAAAATAAACAATTTAAAACAATGTGGTGATTATAGATTAATGTAATATACTGCCACCCTTAAAGCCACAACATATAACAGATCACAAAAGTGCTTTCACCAGGTTACAACCCTAAAACCTTACCTTCTTACATCATCTAAGTAACTGCAAATAAATTTCTCCTCAGGGAATCAGTGCAGTCTTCTTTTTCCTTTTAAAACTTAGCTGGAGTTACTTAAACTAATTCTTAATACCATTCTGAAAATATAAATATACTGTTTAGAATACAGAAAATGCTAAGAAAATACAAATACTTTAGTATTTTTTTTTTCATTTTCATGAAATTCAAGTAGAAAGTAGTGCCAAGTACATATTATTACACATGGTAAATGAAATGAAAATGTTTAGAATGTAATTCACTAGACCTTTTGCTGTACTGGATTTCACAGGTGAAAAGATTTCTCTAAGAGTTTTGAACTTTTAGTGTCTTCTCACATACTTTTAGTGTAAACACTGTAAACTTAACATCTGTATTAATGCTACCTTTTTTAGGATTAATGATTAATGAGGCAGAAGATACTTCAGTTAAATTCTCAGACACATAATTGTGTATTAACCTTTCTGAAAGGCATTTTCAACGAACACTGTGGTGTTTTCAGGAAATTACCGAATACCCACGCACAAATGCAGATATTGATGAGGTAGGGTATTTGTATATTTGCTTTTTTTCAATCATTCAATTTTATGAACATGGGGTCTAGGCAGACTTCAAAATAAAGACCATTTATAAAACAGGACCATTTTAATGTTTACAATTTAATAAATCTTCATTGCAGACAGGTATGGCTGTTTGGTAGTATTCAGAAATATCACAGTAATGGCAGTTTTCTCAATTGGTGTGTAGTCCTCGATAATTATATATGAAATTGCTGTCAAACCAGTAAGACTGCATTTATACATCCATCATTTTCAGGATTGTTGGTAACCTGGGCATATTTTCCTAAGGAAAACAAAACCAAAAAAGGGAAAAGGGAGGGTTGTTACCTAATAAAAATTAATTTTAAAGAATATAACTTTTGCCCTTTTTTTTTTCCCCGTCTTAATACAGGGTTTCACTCTTATTCCCCAGGTTGCAGTGCGGTGGTGTGATCTCGGCTCACTGCAACCTTTGCCTCCTGGGCTCAAGCGATTCTCCTGACTCAGCCTTCTGAGTAGCTGGGACCACAGGCACACGCTACTGCCTGGCTAATTTTTTTGTTTTTGTATTTTGTAGAGATGGGGTTTTGCCATGTTGCCCAGGCTGGTCGCGAACTCCGGAGCTCAAATGATCTGCCTGCCTTGGCCTCCCAAAGTGCTGTGATTATAGGCGTGAGCCACTGTGCCCAACCATGCCTAAAATATTACTAATTACCACTTTTAATAAGTAAGAAATGAACCGTAAAGGATAAATGAGATTTTACAAAATTCAATCATTTAAGAACTTGAGTTCTGAATACAATTTTCATATAAATAGTGTTTTTGCAAATAATGGTCAGCTCCATGTTATTAGTACATTGCATTAACAGGCTTTTGTGGATTGACCTGAGCATTGTCACTTTTTCACATAATTATTCCCGCAAATTGTATCAAGTTTTAAATGAGTTTCAAGTCAAGGTAACAACGTATCTTAAAACTGAGGTCAGCTGACATGAAGTATAAGCCAATCACTGAAGAAGTTGTAGTGTGTATTCTTCCCTTTCAAAGAAGTTGGATCTGGTAGTTGGATCTGGTACTAAAGGTAGAAAACTAAGCAAATGAGGGCGTTTAAAATTAGTGCATGACACGTTTCTGTTTTATTACTGATCTATTGTGATTACACGTTTGTTGTATGCCTCCCTTCCTCTGCTCATGGTTAACTTATTCTATTTTTTTACATTTTTTTTTTTTTAGTTACAACTTCGAAGGCATCTGCTTCCCTTGTAATAAACAACTTTTATTAAAAAGGATCAAAATATCTTAATTTTACTTATTTTTGAGACGGAGGCTTGCTCTGTCTCCCAGGCCGGAGTGCAGTGGCATGGTCTCAACTCACTGTAAGCTCCAGGTTCAAGTGATTCTCCCGCCTCAGCCTCCCGAGTAGCTGGGATTACAGGCACTCACAACCATGCCTGGCTAATTCTTTTGTATTTTTAGTAGAGACAGGGTTTTGTCATGTTGACGAGGGTGGTCTCCAACTCCAGTCTCAAGTGAACTGCCTGCCTTGGACTCCCCAAGTGCTGGGATTACAGGTGTCAGCCACTGCGCCCGGATAGCAAGGGGGCTTTTTAAAGCCTGGAAGCTTCTACATGATTTCTGGGAGGTCAGGAGAATCCCATTAACAGAATGAACTAAACTGTGTTAAATCAGTTTCAATTATTATTATTATTATTATTATTACTTTTTGAGACAGAGTCTTGCTCTGTCATCCAGGCTGGAGTGCAATGGCACGACTGCAGCTCACTGCAACCTCGGCCTCCCAGGTTCAAGCAATTCTCCTGCCTCAGCCACCCAAGCAGCTGGGATTACAGGCATGGGCCACCACACCTGGCTAATTTTTGTATTTTTAGTAGAGATGGGGTTTCACCATGCTGGCCAGGCTGGTCTTGAACTCCTGGCCGCAGATGATCTGTCTGCTTCAGCCTCCCAAAGTGCTGGGATTACAGGCTGAACCACCACTCCTGGCAGTTTCAATTAGTTATCAGTTTACCTGCGTGGGACAGATAGTTCTATTTCTTTAAATTTAATAGGTATTTTCTCTTAATGTTAGCATGTAAATGTAAGAAGTATTTCCATAATATTTGTAAACTTATGGCAAAAGAAATTTTTTCTTACAGAAAACATCTTAAGTCATTGGCTAATACTTCATGTCAGCTGACCTCGCTTTTAAAATATGTTTGATATATGCCTCCCTTCCTCTGCTCATGGTTAATTCATTCTATTTTCTTAAAATATTTCTTCGTTATAACTTTGCATCTGCTTCCCTTATAATAAATAATTTTTATTAAAAAGGTTAAAAAAAATTTTTTTTTGAGATGGAGTCTTGCTGTATTTCCCAGTCTGGAGTGCAGTGGCACAATCTCAGCTCATTACAAACTCCGCCTCCTGAGTTCAAGTGATTCTCCTGCCTCAGCCTCCCAATGGCGGAGATTACAGGTGCTCGCCATCACACCCGGCCAATTTTTTTGTATTTTTAGTAGAGACAGGTTTTGCCATGTTGTCCAGGCTGGTTTCAAACTCCTGACCTTAGGTGATCCACCCCCTTCAGCCTCCCAAAGTGATGGGATTACAGGCGTGAGCTGTTGCGCCTGGCCAAAAAGGATCAAAATAAATCTAACAGAATGTATTACACCTTATGTAACTAAAACCAGTAAGCTAAATTTTAAAACAATTGTATTTACTACTTTTTCTATAAAGTATTTTTTACTAAAGATTTACATCTGATTTACATTGTTTTAACTTAGCTCTACTGCATTAAAAAATTTTGCTGTGTATTTTAATACATCAACTTGAAGAGTATTTCTATTAGTACTGCAGAACAGCAACAGCCCTATATTCAAAAATTCACTTACCCCAAATAACTTTGCCTCCTTGCGTCACAAGGCCCAATTCGCTCACATTTACCTCAATGACAGTACCTTTGGTAATAACACCCAAAGTTGTATACAGTGGGGATGAGGGATTCTTCTTTACGCCAAGTATCGGTAGGCAAAAGGTGGCTTTCAGTTCAGGATGTGTTACATGGGCTTTCTTGAAACGCAAGCCCTGGTAAGTCAAACACAACATAAGAATGTTCACGTCCAAAATGTTAACAGTGATGAGTAGTGTTGTTTTTGCTTATCTTTTTCAACCATCTCCAAAAAACTATGGTTGCATAATGTCATCTTAAAGCAGCTAACAAAATATGTTCTACAGAGTAAAAACCTGATGGTTACAGTATAAATACGTGGGGCAAACACCCACACATATATTTAAGAATTTTTTTCTTTTTTTTTTTTTGAGACAGGGTCTTGACCAGTTGCCCAGGCCAGAGTGCAGTGGCATGACTTGGCTCGCTGCATCCTGGGCTTCTTGGGCTCAAGACATCCTCCCACCTCAGGCTCCTGAGTAGCTGGGGCTAGAGGCACGCACCACTATGCCTAGCTAATTTTTGCGTTTTTTTTTTTTGTAGAGATGGGGTTTCGCCATGTTGCCTGCTGGTCTTGAACTCCTGGGCTCTCAACCTATCCACCCACCTCAGCCTCCCGAAGTGCTGGGATTCCAGGCCACCACAGCTAGCCTCCGAAAAGTTTTTTTTTGCCCTGAAACAGCTACCTAGCAACATCCTCAGATTTTTACTGTCTAGTCATCGACAGTTAGACTTACTAAGGACTTGATATATACCAGGCCACTATGCTAGCTCACAACTGGCTCACTTAAACACAATAACCTCACAACAAACACATCCCTCTCTCTCCTGTTTTTGAATGATGTAACAAGGAGCAGCAGGTTAAATGACTTGTTTCCAGATTAAATGGTGAGTGGTAAACAGAATCAAACCTAAATATCGTGATTCCAAGTCTTTATATACTTCAGCTACCTTCCATGATGAAAAAAGGAGTGGATTGTTAGCTTTCTTTAGGTTGATGGTAATATGAGACTGGAGAAGGCCCAGAGAGGTCTTTGTTACAGAAACTGGTTATGGAATCACCCAGTCACCTAATAGGGTCTTTTAGGGTGTAGTACTTCAAACATCACAACATTTTGCAGTCTTGATTTCTGCGTGTATGGGGATGGGGAGAAAACAACACTGAATCAGTTTCTTAGTAACAGATTCATTAATGAAGCTCTTAAGAAACTGACACCATTCAGGATGCCATCTGATTAATTCACAATGACAAATCTGTGAAACTACAGAAAACCTAGAGTAGCCTGACTTGTATATTCTCTCCCTGTAGAACTGGTAAGGCTACCAAAATATATTCAGAATATGAATATGAAACCAAAACAAGTCGATTCCATGATATAATCCAGAGGTGGGCAAACACTTTGTGTAAAGAACCCAAAAGGTAAACATTTTAGGCTTTGCCAGGCCATATGGCCTCTGTTACAACTGTTCAATTCTGGGGGTGGGGGTTATGCAATATGTAAATGAACAGGCATGGCTGTGTTCCATTAAAACTTTATTTACAGAAACAGGCTGTTTGCCAATATTTTAATCTATTAAAAATTACTCAGGTTGGCCGGGCGCGGTGGCTCATGCCTGTAATCCCCGCACTTTGGGAGGCTGAGGCAGGCAGATCACAGAGATAGAGACCATCTTGGCTAACATAGTGAAACCCCATCTCTACTAAAAATACAAAAAAATTAGCCAGGCATGGTGGCGGGCGCCTGTAGTCAGTCCCAGCTACTGCAGAGGCAGGAGAATGGCGAGAACCCGGGAGGCGGAGCTTGCAGTGAGCTGAGATCTCGCCACTGCACTCCAGCCTGGGCGACAGAAGGAGACTCCGTCTCAAAAACAAAAACAAAAAAAAATAGGTTGAACACTAGGATTTGGGCATGTTGCAACTTTCTTCTCTCTGATACTTTGTTTTGTTGAGGCTGTGTATCTAACTGGGAGAATAGTTCAGTCTCTTTGAAGGGATTTTGCAAAAATACATCTTCAATTATGTTTCTCCCCAGGGGTGGGGAAGTTTGGGGTCATATTACTATTGCTGCCTTCAACAGAAATTAAGCTATATTAAATTATCTTCCTTTTTTCAAAGATTTTCTTTTCTTTTTTTTTTTGAGAGTCTTGCTCTGTCCCCCAGGCTGGAGTGCAGTGGTGTGATCTCTGCTCACTGCAAGCTCTGCCTCCTAGGTTCATGCCATTCTCCTGCCTCAACCTCCCAGGTAGCTGGGACTACAGGCGCCCACCACCATGCCCGGCTAATTTTTTTGTATTTTTTTTTTCATTAGAGACGGGATTTCAGTGTTAGCCAGGATGGTCTTGATCTCCTGACCTCGTGATCTGCCTGCCTCAGCTTCCCAAAGTGCTGGGATTACAGGCGTGAACCACCGCGCCTGGCTTTTCAATGCTTTTCAAGAGCATTTGGATACTTTCCTTACCAAACTGAAACTGACTCTTACAAAACAGTCCTAGTCAAATTTTCGAACTGTTGTCAAAGACAAGAAGTGTTTTGAGACCTAGACAATATCAGGCATATAGCAGATCACTAGTTGAATGACGAAAATATGAAGACAATGAAGATTCTAATATGTCATGTTTAAAAGTCAGAATTTACTGACAATGTCTTATGACACTTTTTTCAAATCTCTTACGAAGCTGAAAAAAAAAAAAAATATATATATATATATATTTATTTTTTTTTTTTGAGATGGATTTTTGCTCTTCTTGCCCAGGCTGGAGTGCAATGGTGTGATCTCGGCTCACTGCAACCTCTGCCTCCCAGGTTCAAGTAATTCTCCTGCCTCAGCCTCCCTAGTAGCTGGGATTACAGGCGCCCGCCACCACACCCAGATTACTTTTTGTATTTTTTAGTAGAGATACAGTTTCACTATGTTGGCCAGGCTGGTCTTGAACTCCTAACTTCAGGTGATTCACCCACCTCAGCCTCCCAAAGGGCTGGGATTCCAGGTGTGAGCCACCGCACCTGGCTAAAGATTCTTAACTAGTGGAAAAAGTACTAAATAACTTCTATCACTAACTTAAAATAACAAAAATAGCATAAAAATATCTTCCAATCTGTTCCACATCAATTTTAAGAATTTCAGGAAATTATAACGTTCTTTATCCGATTTAACAAAGTGAACTAATATTTCAGTCATTACACTCTTCCAAGGACTTACCATTGGCCTGATAAATCTTTCATATTTAGGTGGTTTTCTTGTAAAGCCATCTCCAACAAAGCACACTTTAGTAACCATCCTCTTCCATGCTTTCTTCTTTCTCTTTCCTGTTCGAACAACTTTTAATACTTCTGTTTCTCCCTGGGCACGTACTTTAGGCAGAGGGACTTCCCATTTTCCCTAAAAATATGCCACAGTTAAAAGTTTACATTGTTATTAAAGGACAATGAGAATAAGTCAAGTATGTTTTAGTTGTACAAAGCAGTAGATCTATTTTTTTTTGCTTAACCATCATTGGCTCAACTGTTATTCTAGAGTTCTGTATTGTCTCCTCATAAGCTGCAAATTAAACAGAACAAGTTTATATTATCATGGGTACATTAAATAAATGGTTGACTTAAGCTAAAAATCTTATTGCTGTGTTATGGGTGAGAAAATACCACCTGTAATGTGGTGGTAATTTTTTTTTTTTTTAGTTTATTTTTTTTTTATTTTTTGAGACGAAGTCTCGCTCTGTTGCTCAGGCTGGAGTGCAGTGGTGCGATCTTGGCTCACTGCAACCTCTGCCTCCTGGGTACGAGCAATTCTCCTGTCTTACCCTCCCGAGTAGCTGGGACTACAGATACACACCACCACACCCAGCTAATTTTTGTATTTTTAGTAGAAGTGGGGTTTCACCATATGGTCAGGCTGGTCTTGAACTCCTGACCTCAGGTGATCCACCTGCCTCGGCTTCCCAAAGTGCTGGGATTACAGGCGTGAGCCACTGTGCCCAGTCGATGGTGACTTCTATAAGCAGTGTATGTGTTTACTAATGTTTAATAGCATAACATTGGACGAGTGTTTCCACCTCTTGTCTCTGTATTTCTTCCTGAAACGGATTTGTAGATTACATTAATAGTAAGACAAAGTCCTCACCAGATGTTTTATGCCTCCCTTGAGTGCAAATTCTATGAAAAAAACTGAAGTAGTGTAAGGCAGTAGAAAGAATTCTTTAAATATAGATACAGCATATTCTTTTATCTGGATTTCTGCTAATCTATTCACAGGTGTTTTAAAAAGCCACATTTTTTGTGATAACTCAAGGAGTTTTCCACCATTCTGCTTTTGAACCAATTTTGGCACTACAGGACAGCACAAATAAGAAGCATTTGTATTTTTCTTTATGACTGCATAGCACTGTGGGTTTTCAAACAGGAAGACAAATATTGAATTTGAAATTCACTCCTTATCAGCTTTTTAATTTCATATGGCATTCTAATAATTTTTTTAAAACTTAAATTTTAGAACCTTATGATGGGAAAGCAAGTTTTTTTAATTACTAAATTTACAAAGACCTCAACATCTAAATAATGGGAATAGCTGTACTTCATGTTTGAAATTAAACCAAGAAACAAGAACCTCAAATTTGAATTTAAGTAATTCTCCTAAACAAAACAAAGACTTCAATTGTTATTGCTTACCGCCTTCTCTTTTCGTTTCTGTTTAATCATATTGGAAAGTACTTTAGCTCGAGATTGTCCCTCTCTGTCCAGCAGATAGGCAGGTACTGCTCCCTGTGGAGTCTTTTCATCATTCTTTTGTTTGGTGTTTCTCTTTTCATGCATCTTGATACTACCAAGAAGGAAAAAAGATTCAAAATTACCTGTTTTAATAATGATGACTCAAAAGATGTTAACTTGTTATGACAAATAAATGAGACCACTTACGTCTTTTTCATTTGTATTTTTTCAGCATGGCGCTGTTTATGGTAAAGCTTAGCCTTCAGACCAATCATTTTCTTTGCCTTCTTTGAACGTTCATGAGCCTCTCGACTTTCCTTCTTTCTCTTTTTCTCATGGTAATCCAAACGGTATCCATAGCGTTTGCGGTGTAATTCAATATATTCGTTCTGTGGCTATAATGATGCAAGAAATGTTATTTTAGTTTTTAAAAGTACTGACAATTATTCTAAAATGCTTGCTTTTACACAGCATAAAGACCCTGTTTCATCCAAATGTTCACTTACTTGAATGATTATTGCACCATTAAGTCTATTCACATGATGTAAGTTAAATTTTGATCTTGAAGGGTATGAGGCATCAGGGCTTACATTTGTAATAATCTCAGTAGGGAATGTTCCAAAATCTACTGGACCACAAAAGGGATGAACTGATTACAGTATCTTTTTTCCTTGATATAATTTGCTTTTTAAATAACATCTTCATTTCACATTAAAAAAATTTAAGTTAGTTTTATTGAAGCATAATTTACACACAGTAAAACCTGTTCTTTTTAGGCATACAGTTCTAAGTTTTTTTTTCCCCCTTTTCTTTTTTGAGACAGAGTCTCGCTCTGTCACCCAGGCTGGAGTGCAGTGGTGTGATCTCTGCTCACTGCAAGCCCCGCCTCTCGGGTTCAAGCCATTCTCCAGCCTCAGCCTCCGGAGCAGCTGGGACTACAGGCGCGCCCGCCACCGCGCCAGGCTAATTTTTTGTATTTTTAGTGGAGATGGGGTTTCACAGTGGTCTCGATCTCCTGACCTCGTAATCCGCCCGCCTCAGCCTCCCAAAGTGCTGGGATTACAGGCGTGAGCCACCGCGCAGTTCTACGTTTTTACTAACTACACAGTTCGGTAACCACCACAATCAAAATAGAGAATTTCCATTTCCCCTTAAAATTCCCTATGTCACTTTGAAGTCAATCCTCTTTTCCAGCCCTCAATTTGATACCTATCCCTAGTTTTGCCTTTCCCAGAAAGAAACAGGGATCAACAGTAGTACATGGCCTTTTGAATCTGGTTTGGGATTCACCCAATTTGTTGCAGGTATAGGTACTTCAATTCTGTTTATTGTTGAGTAGTATGCTATTGTATGGATATACTACTGTTTACCCACTGACCAGTTAATAGGTATCTGGGTTGTTCCCAGTTTTGGGTGATTACGAATAAATCTGCAATAAACTGCATGCAAGTCTTCATGTGGACATGTGTTTACTGCCAGACCGTTTTCCAAAGTGCATTATTTTTCATTTCACCAGCAATGTATGGGATGCTTTTTGCATTTTAGACACGTTTTATTTTAAACACGAGACCAGGCGTGTCTATTCGTATTTTTAAGGCTGCAAAAATAAAAATGATACAAAGTCAAGTCCAGCACAGAGAACAGTGTTAAGTAACAAATAGCAAGGCGTGCTGCTACCAACTGCTATCATATAAACTTTGCAGCAATCACATGAAGGGTGTATGGAATGCCACTTCGCAAAGAAACGCAAGATGATAGAGACGTAACAGAAAGAGCAAGGATCTGGCAGTTAGATCTGGGCCGTTAAGTCCGGCTTCGCAATTCATTAGCTGTCTGGTCTTCGGCAAGGACCCCTTCATTTTGACGCATTCAGTTTCCTTAACAGTAAAATGAAAGGGGTGGGATTAACATCTAAGATTGTACAAGGCACAACCATATTCCCATTAGGCTCTGGTGCTGATAACCACGCTTGTGGTGAAATCAGTAATTTTTAGGACTCTTAGCGGTGGAGCAAAAAGAAAAAGAGTAAAATCTTGCTCCAAAGCTTGTGTTCTGGCAAATACCCTCTGTGTCTCGAATGTGAAGTTGTTTTCACTCCTCAGAGCGCACCCCACGGAGTCCACCATCCTTTTCCCTTAGCAGTTTTCATTTCCGCCTACCACTGCTCACCCCCTGCCCCAGTGCCCCAGAGCCCTCAGGTCCCACTAACTCAAACGCTGTATGTCGCGGGCGTCCGACGCATCCTCCTTACCATGGTGACGGCCGCAGGGCCGCCAGGAGCAGCCCCTGGGCTACGAAAACGCTCTCAATTTTCGGGGCTCAAAGACCCACAAGCCCACGCCACGCAGGCCGGGACAGGAAAGGGTCGCCCTTTAAAACGGCCGAGTGAAGAGCAAGAACCACGCAGCGGTTCCGAGCCTCCGTTTTCCGCTTTTAGGCTAAGAGGACGGAAGTTGCTGGCAGACGACATTTGGCCGGTACACCGCCGGAAGTGTGGAGGTGTGGCTGCTTGAGGCGGCAGAGCGGAAAAATCGTAGCTTCATTTCGTTTAGGTACAAGGCCGTTTGTCTGGGCTGGTGTGGAGACTTGAGGCCTTTGCAGACTTTGGCGCGGCTCGCGCCTCCTGCTTCAACAGCCCAGCGGTGACGAGCTGGCCTGCGGCACGCGGCCTAATACCAGGTGAGTACTGCTCCGAGCTGTGAGACATTGCACGCCTGTGACCCTGTCCAGCGCTGGGTATTGCTGACCTTCCAGGCTGCGACAGACACAGCCAGCCACGGAGGAGGACAACAAGGCCTCCGGACTCCCCTCGGTGTTCGCTCAATATGGAAGTTTTTCTCTATCATTCGGTGAGGGGGACTCATCTTTGTTCCGGTCACACTGTAATGTGTGCACGATTGTGAAGAATGCTGAAGAATGAAAACTTAGTGTACAGAAAAATAGAACTACTGGGCCTTTGCAACTGTTAGAAAAGACGAAGATAACATTCTGTTTTTTTGGAGGTACAGGACTGATTCCAGAAATTTCTGAGGCGTTTTGGTGCACCGCATCAAATGCTAAGTGAGTGGACTTGTATTTAGTGGCCCCCTAGAGGCCAAGAAGTAATTCACTACAAGAAAAAGTATGTCTGCTTGAATACACTGCCAATTTTACCCTTTTACTGCACAGTTGCAGAAGTTCCTTTAATTACTTCACAGCTTGTAACGTGATTCAGTTGATGAACAAAAAGAACTGTACCAAAAGAATACTTTCATTAATTCTTAGTGCTTGGATTTGAGGCAGTATTTTGTTTTTGTGGGTTTTTTTGAGACGGCATCTCGCCCAGTCGCCCAGGCTGAAGTGCAGGGGCGCGAGCTCTGCTCACCGCAGCCTCGACCTCCCGGGATCAAGCGATCCTCCGAGTTCAGCCTCAAAAGTAGCGAATTACAGGCTCGCGCCACCACGCCTGGCTAATTTTTGTATTTTTTGTAGAGACGAAGTTTCACTATGTTGCCCAGGCTGGTCTCGAACTCCTGGGTACAAGCTATCCACCCGCCTCGGCCTCCGAA